TTTGAACGCCAACTGAAAAATAACGAATTAAGATAGTGCTTCAGAAGAGAGAGTGTGGAAGTGTACTGTTGATACGGTCACTGAGAAGTGTGATTGGCTGCTGCTTGCCAAAAATCCATGGAAACTATTTTCCCCAATGCAATAAAACATTGCTTTCACTTCTTTTCAGAGGCCGCAGACACACCTATTGTGATACAACCAGCATCAGCCTCAGAGACGACCCAGCTCACAACCGACTCTCACCCCAGCTACCACACTGATGGATTTAACTAATGATTTAGAATGGATAAATAAATACACGGCCAACTCAACACTAGAATCATGAACATTAGAAATAGCGAATGGAGAGGGGGAAAAGTTTTGCCACAGTAAGAAGGCAGTCTCCAACCTGCCGAGAATATTTTGTAATCCCTTCAGCCTTTTGTCACCTTCAGTGTCGTATCTTGATGATACATGAAGTGCTGTAGCATGCAGTATTTAAAGCAGTTTAGCTATGGTCTTATTTGTTTGTTTTTCCCTTTTTATAGCATGTATGGAGTTATGTTAAATGTCTGTTTGTGTTATGTATTGAGGAGTTTTCACAATAAGAGTATGATGGAGACATTCTGCATTTTAAGCAGTGATACCAGCCTAAAACAAGATCTTTTTTAAAGTGAGTGAAATCAGTCACACACAAGCTGCTCTGCTTCCATACAGTTGGACTGTGAAGTCCTTAGAGTTCATCATTTTTATGTGAGTGCAACAAAGATCTTAAGGTCTTTTGTTTTTAGGCCTTCCTGTGTCTCCCTGCACCTCTATCTAAGCAAGTTTATAATGCAAAGAACCAAAAACTGCCAACATTGTAAGGCAGGAATTCTTTAATGATGATTTTCAGCCTAAATAAAACTACCCTGGACATGCTTCCCTCATTTGTTTTTTACTCTTCAGACATTAAATTGATGGACAGCTCCTTATGCATAATGGGAATTCTTTGATAGTATAGGCCCAAAATGTAGATTGTGACAAAAATCAAATGTTAATAGCATTATTTTTAGGGACTTCTTTATTTCAAGCAGAAACTGTTTGAGTTTAAGCATTCCCTTGCAGTGTTTATAACCAACTATTGCAGCCTCTTATTAGTGCATGAGAATCTTAACGTGAAACTGATTAGTCTGTTTTCATTATCCAAGTGAAGGAAATGCAGAAAGTAAACAAATAGCATCAGTGGTGGAAAGCAAATTAGATTTTTAAAATTCTCTTTTAATAATCTAAAATGCTATTAGTAAGACCATTAGGAACACTTATTTTTTAAAAATGCTTTTAACCTGACAATGTCCCTTTAATTTTTGTCATGAACAACTTTTTGGAAGGTGTAAATGGCTATTTAAGGACAAAACACCTCACTTTGTGTTTACATCAAATAATAGTTTACACACACACTACTCTGTTTAGATATGTTTACTTAAACATTTTATTTTTCTGCACATAAATTATTGTGGAAACTATTAAACAATTTCCTGTGCTATCTTGAAATCAGATCATGTCTGAATAATGTTTAAAACTGTGGTTTAATATATGAATTTTAGGTTTGCTCAGCTGTCACAGAAACATTTACTTTGCAGTTGAATTGCTTATATATTTTGCTTTTAACGGATTTCTCTTTAGAAAATGTTGAATAAGGATTTAGGGGAACAACTAGGGAGCTTTTGGTAGTTACTTACTGCCTCTTCTGCTTTGATCTTTTATGTCTTCATCACTTCTCCTCTCTTCCCTTTGCATCTGTTTCTTCACATCACATGCCCCAACCGCACTTTTTCAGGCCCTACAAAGTGACTGACATCCTTCCAGCCAACATTCCCTTTGGGACTCTTCCATGCTGCTCTTTCACAAGGCAGAGGCGTCTCTTTGGAGAAAGTGCTTAGCACTGCTCAAGTGGCCCTGCCAGCCTATAGAAGAAGAGCCCAGGAACTGAACTAAGGT